AAATAGTGTTATGAACAACATTAATGTCTTAATAACTGCGAATAAATAGTACGAACAGATTACAGTTCAACAGCATCAACATAAAAATAAACTTTATGTCAGAAAAATTAGGTAAGATAATATTACAAATTCATGAATATGTTGTCTCTACTGAAGGCCAGAGCAGTAGTAGGGGCTGGAATTGCTCTGTTTGTACACAGAGCACTGGCTGTTTGAGACAAATTGCAATAGCCTCTGTTGTTTGGAGCATGCATTGCTTCAATGTTTTTGGCAATTTATTTGGCACCCGGTAGATGATAGAGAGGGATTCTTCAACGCTGGCTTTGTGGCCGGTTTGGAAAAGATGGTCTAATGTTGAACTGTTGATAGTTTTCACTATACCTTTATTTAGCCATGCTGAAAGACCACGAAAACTCAAGTTCCTAGAGCAACGGCCGATACAACTCGCTCCACAAGCGCAGTTGAATTCGTAGATAAACTTTGAAGTGGGTAGTCTAGGTAATTCATATTCCAGCCGAGGAATCACCATAGGTCGTGTAGAGACGAAGACATGAATTTCGCCGGCAGTAAAAGTTCTTTGAACTGATTTCCCTTATTACATCTGAATCGTTTCAATTAAAGGACATCCAAGAAGGAAATTCTGTCTTAAGATTCCTCTTTGCACGTGAATTTCATATCCGGATATACTTCATTGAATTCAGTTATTATTGTACTCCTATCCGAATCATTATCACAAAAAATGAAAAAGTCATCCATATACCGGTAATAAAATGAGAAATTTCTGATAAGGTTGTTAAAAGGTCCATTTTATAGTTTACTTGGAAATAAATCTGCCAAAATGTGACGCAGTAGGGAGCCTGTTGCCACCCGTACCACTTGCCTGTAAAGTGTGCCGTCAAGTGGACGGAGTGACTGCATCCTAGCTTTGTCAACTCATGGTGGACCTCAAAGAATTCTAGCGGAAATGAGAGAAAAGTCAGTGGGTTATTCTCGTCATCTGAGGTCCTTCAGTTCCATACTTGGTGTGGTCATTCATGTGTTCTTTTGAAAAGTCTTCAAGTAGCGCGAATACCCTCCCAGTTCGCCCTTGATTTTAATGACCTCTTCAAGTGATTTTGTTCATGTTGGAAATGTACAATTAAATAATTTAGTTATTCTCAGTTTTTTTGACACCTGATATTATTACTGACCATTGTTGTTTCATACATCTTTATATCGAGTGAAATGGCATGATTTCACAAGAGCTTTGTGTTACTGATCGTCACATTGTTCATCAGGCTATTATTCAAGCAGTAATTCACAATGTAGGCATTAGCCTATTGGGGAAGTAGTTTAAACCAGTAACCAAATATGTGTGTCTTGAACTTTCACCGACTAGCATTCCCTTTCTTCTAAATTACCGATATTTATTTTTCTTCAGTACATTTAGCTGTTTCCATGTTCGTCAACTTCGCTCAAAATAGTCACCTGGTTATTTGAAGTAGTCTTATGTGGATTAACTTAACTACTAACTGTTACACCATATTTGACATCACATCGTGAAAGCATCTTTTGTCTTACCTGAAAGTTTAATTCATGCCTTTGTCCAATGTCTTGTAGACTATATGAGGCTTCACCTTTCATTTCTCATCTGTACAATGGTTCATCTGTAGTTTCACCACTCTTCTCAGACATGTGATCTTCCAGTTTTCCGCGGCAGGCCGTTCCTATTTCTGTTTACTCTATTTGCATAATAATAATGTTGTATAAACACCACAGAATCCATACACACCGTCACGTATATACAATATATCGTGTAACAGCATTTCTGAAGTTTGTGAGATCACATGGACAAGTATATTCAATTTGTTTAAACTTGTTTATTTCAAGAAGCTGATAACTACCTGGCTATTAAAGGGGAAGCTTTTTTAATACCTGTTTGATTTTGTTCTGTAAAATGTTCCGCTGTTTTAAATATCTAACGGCTTTGTCCTATAAATTCCTCTGAATCGACATGGAAAGGAGATTTTTCATTTATTTTGAAATATTTATAAGCTTTATGTGAAGAGAAAGAACTTACTATATCTCTCTTTATTATTTACATTAGATTTTTCAGTTACAGAAAGATACTTAATAAATAGAAGAAATAATATCACACATGGCTACCTCATTTCATGCCTCCAGGGTAAACATTTGATTATTCCTTTTTATGCCAGTTTTATTTCAGGCCTACAATTAGGAGTCACAACTTAATGAATAAAATGATTTCGAAATACTGATCACCTAACGTAGAATATTTTTACAACAAATTCTTCATCAGTGTCATCGATTTTCAGCCTAACTTCAGTTTGAGGATTACTCCTGTGAACAATAGCATTGTTTCAAATAACATTATATGACTTATATCAAAAGGTTACGGTCCAGAAGCATCTGTAAGTGATGGTGTGCACTGAACTGAATATTGGATAAGGTAACAAAACTAATTCAGAATTTACACGCTAACTTATTCGCTTTTGTACATAGAGTTACGATTCCTTCAAGTGAACTGCAAAATATGGAGCCAGTAACACTAGCCACAGCCTTTAAAACTTGAAATGCCAAATATAATCACACAGACCATCTGGTACAATTAGGTCATAAAGCTTACATCACAAAAATTTGCTTCTACGCAGTATCAACTAAATCCAGAAAAGCTCTTAACTACCGAGGATATTGCACGCCACATACCGTGGCAATTCGCTTAAAACAACCGCAAATCTGTGCACTGTAGGAATGTGTTTAGTCACTATTTCAAATTTAGCCTACCACAGAATACATAATTTCTGTATTATCTATCGTAATATAACTAACTTTCAGTCAAGTCATACGTTGTTGTACCTTATCGCCTACATACGTTCCTGAAATGTTACCTAGCTATATCATGCATCAGATATTTTTCGGGACACTTTTTAACTTCATGTATATTAATGGTGTAACAGATTATTAGCATATGAGTATAAAAATGGAGAAACATTCATCAAAAAGAAAAAATTTCTAATCACTCTCCTAATCTTCTGAAATTTTTAATTAGCGCTTTTATTATAAAAATAATACGTTTCTTCTGATGAAGAAACAAACTACAAATCGAATGTGAATGCTTTCTTTGCAATCCAGTAGCAAACAAAGTGGCATACAATATTTGAGTATATTGAGATTAAACTTAAACATTCATATGAACTATGATAAGGACTGTAACGAATATTTTGTTTTTAAAAATTAGGTGAAGAGTGGAAAACTGGACATAAAACAAAATTTCTCATTCTCAATCATGATACTAATCTACTTTTAAGATTAAATAATAATTAATATTTTCATAATTTACCTATTTCTCCTGACATTCACAAATTATAAAATTATTTTATTCACTAGTATCAGATGAATTGAAAATCATTTCCGGTGGGTGCAATGACGATTTATAATAAATGTACGGTGTCATTTCAACTGTGAGGATAAGGAATTATTGAATGAACCATGATTTAAAGTAGGCGTTCAAAGAGTGAAATGTATTTATTATCACTAAATGCACAGCATATTCAAACGAAATGCATTTGCGAAATTGTATTCGTTGAAGCAGCATTACTGTAATGTATTTTCACCTATGATTTACCTACTCCTAACGACTTACTCAGATAAAATGAGTTGAAAATTGTTGCTTGTTTTTCATTGTTGTGAAATGACACACAAAGTACCTATAGTGTATCAGTGTTATCAATGTTTATGTGCTTTGTATACCATGACTAGTCAGCCATTAGGCTTACACTCTGAAGCTTAAAAGTAAACAGTTCCTTCTTTTTGAATTGTTTGACGTTAAACTGAATACAGCTATATTACGTGCTGAGAATATATACTATATGAGTGAACTTAGCAATCGGCACGCTTACTGTTTCAGTAGAACAATTAACATCACTGAGGTACAATTATTATTCCCAAAAGGTAGAAATGATTGAACTCATTGAGTCAAAATCTTAGCGTACAATGAAAAGATAGACCAGCAACTTTTACACCAGTGACTAATCCACAACTATTATACAGAAAGCGAATTAAAATTGCTCTTCAGTATTATAACCCATCATTTCAAGCATTTCAATGGGTTGTTATGAATGATCATATGGTTCTGAAAGATATTTTTTACAAATGGCATCACGATTATCAAGGTTAGGTGTCTACGTATTTCACAAATTTAGCATTGTTCTGTTAATCGCTTGCTTAATAAGACAGAACAACTACGGAATTCACAGTTATAAAAATACCATCTTCTTGACAAGGAAGTTTTTATTTCGACGTTTCCTGAATTTCTCATCTGAGGCAATAAAGTGATGAGGAATATCTCCAGGAAAATTTCATTCACTGTACGAACATTCAACTTAACCTTCATATGCTTATTTGAGTTAATTTCTCAGAGACATCTGCATGTTTATTTGACAATGAGATACTAATTGCTATGTCATACGTTTCTGAAAGCATCATGAAATTTTTCGTGCAGAAAAAGCTGTGTGCTTACCGTCATCCTCTGTGAAAAAATAATCTCCCTTGAAATTTATTCCTCATGATTCAATAAAAGTGTTAATGATATAAAAACTTTTTAAAAGTACTACCTACTTATCAATAATAAAATAACTACACTGCCATTCTATCGTCTCATTTCAAATTTAGAAAGCTCCTACTGAGCGCTTATAAAACCTGATCGTTTTTCACATTTTAAATACCTGCTTTGTCATATGAGGTATATGTGGAAATAGTATGTTGGTGCTTGAATTTATCAACGGAGATGAGGCAAAATGGATTGCTGAGAATTCCATTCTGTATCACAAGTACTGTTTTGGAATAAAGCAAATCTGTATTATTATTGCCAAGTGCGTTATGCTTCACATTAGTTTGACATAATTCAAATCCTCAAGAACTTGGGAATTAAGCATTTTGAAATTTTCTGAGATCATACAGTCGAATTCCGACTCGAAACAGCATATTCTTACTAAGTACTAATAATTAGTTTTTTTATATATATAAGCATAAATGGGAAGAACCTGAAAGCAACAACCTCCTTCACCTACCTGGGAAGCATCGTCTCAACTACAGGCGGAACTGACGAGGACATCAAAGCCAGAATCGGAAAAGCAAGACAAGCTTTCATTACTCTCAAATCTGTGTGGAGGTCAACAGCACTCAGCATCAAAAATAAGATCCGGATTTTCAACTCCAATGTGAAGTCAGTGCTACTATACGGATCAGAGACTTGGCGAGTCATAAAGAGCATCTCAAACAAACTTCAAACCTTCATTAACAACTGTCTCCGCTCAATACTCAAGATCAGATGGCCAGAAAAGATCAGCAACAGGGATCTCTGGGAGCGAACCAATGAGGAACCGATTGTGCAACAAATAAGCAGGAAGAAATGGAGATGGATTGGCCATACACTAAGGAAACCATCAAGTGAAATCACTAGACAAGCCATTGCTCGAGTGAAACCAGGCCGAAAGGGAGGCGGCGAGTTGGTCGTCCAAGAGTGACTTGGAGGAGGTCATGCGAGGAGGAGATGAAATCATGTGGACAGACCTGGAGCAGGGTGAAAAAGTTGTCAGAAAACCGAAGTCAATGGAGGTGCGCAGCTGAAGCCCTATGTTCCTCTAGGAACTAAAGGATACAATAATAATAGTAATATATATACACAATTTTCATATTTCTTTTTATGCTCACTTGCATGTAAGACTAAGAAGAGTTATATATTAGTACGTGTTAACTATTTGAAAACAATGAACTGTTTGAATAAAACAATAAAAGTGTTAATGATATAAAGAATCTTCAAAAGTATAATCAAGTTATCAATAATAAATAAAATCCACTGCTATTCTATCGTCTCATTTCAAAATTAGAAAGCTCCTACTGAGCGCTAATAAAACCTGATCGTTTTTCACATTTTAAATACCTGCATTTTCAAATGAGGTATATGTGGAAAAAGTATGTTGGTGCTTAAATTTATCATTGAAGAAGAGGCAAAATGGATTGAAGGTCGGATTGTGGTTACACGTGTCACAGTAATTTATGAAGTGGAAGTGAGAAATAAAAGTTAGATGAAACACAGAAACCAGTTAAAACGGAGCTACAAGATGTCCTGAAAACCTGACATAGTCTTGGATCTTCTACTTGGTATATCTATGGCTACCTCCAGTGGATATGGTGATAAAAGAACAAGAAGGAATATCAGCCTAGAAGGCGATCCAATCGCATGCGACCTCAGAAAGTACGATTCCTAATTGCCATTAAAACAGAAATATTCACTCATTTTTGTTGTTTTGTGTAGTGGTTATTGGGAATTCTAATTATAACAGCAGGTTCCGTAAATTGACTAGATAGAGGAATTTATAAACCCGACTTGCCAAGTGCATTATGCTTCACATTAGTTCGACATAATTCAAATCCTCAAGAGTTTGGGAATTATGCATTTTGAAATTTTATCAGAACATACAGTCGAGTTCCGGCACGAAACATCATATTCTTACTTAGTACTAATAATCAGTTTTTTTTAATATATACACAGTTTTCATATTTGTTTTTACGCTTACTTCCGACTTCACCTAAGAAGAGTTATATATTAGAAATATTTAACAATTTAAAGGCAATAAATTGATTGAATAACATGACATATGACACATCTTCAGAGTGTGATAGGACGCAACTTATTACGAATTTGTTCATTGTAAAAGCCACACGGCGAAATTCAATAAATCTGGAAACGATGAAATATTCTGGAATTATTGCATGAGATCGAACGGATATTAACAAAGTGGTTTGGGAAAGTAAATGACGACAGTTTACACTACTGCGATATCTCGTCGTCAAAATGTCATTATTCACACTGGAAAATGTATTTCGTCTTCGAAAACTTGTAAATGAAGTTGATAGAAGATGACTTATCGTTAATGTAGAAGTCGGTCGTGTGAGCTTTTCGAAAAGTATATGCCCATCAAACTTAAAAATGTCAGCATAAATGACAATTTAAACGTCCCGAATGTGATAACTTTCCTTGAAATGTCACTCGTTTCAAAAGGCACTCCACCAGGGGTGTATTTAAGAATACTAAGTCATTTGCATAATATGCTGAAAGCTACGAACTACTTGCACTTGTCGATAAAGGTGAACGACAAAAAAAGCTCATACCGATGCCATGTCGGTTAAGTATACAACTATGAAGCGACTTCTGACTGATATTCCAATTATAACTTTCTTCAAATTGTTCACTTCTTAGCACTGAGATAAGTTATGAATAACAAACAGCAAATGGTCTCTGCTTGATGCAACAAACAAAAATTTCAATCAATAAATTTCTTCTGATTGAGAATCTTTACCAAAACGCCGGCTAATTACGCGACTATATTTGTATCACTATTATTTGCTGATGTATTCACCACTAGGTAGGCTATTTGAAGAACTTTAATGACTTCTAGAAACAGCGATTTTCTGAGAGCATTTTTAGTTCGAAATAATTTAAATAGTCAAACAGTCCACAGAGAATACCTACTCCTAATTCAACTACCAAATTATTAGGGACACTAGGATATATTCACCTTAGAATTACAACTACTTTAGCAGATTAATTAGGAAAATGAAGTCTGGAGAAAAAGAGTTTGAAATTGGTGTTATTACAAGAGTTTTAAATTAAAACAAATGGTGCTTATTGTCTGATTATGAAGTAAATGTACTGTAGTTTTATGATTAAATTCAACTTAATTAAGACATAGTGAGCAAAACCGATAAATAATTAAGGAACACTTATTGGTGCTTACATGCTTTTGTTCTGTATAATTCTGTTCACCAAAAAAAGATGTTTTCACCATTAGAAGTTATGTGAGTGATATTATGAATGAATTCTGGAAATGGAATTCATGTAAACCATTTTGAAGGATAATTCTTTGAAAATATTATGCTGCCCTGAGTAATATTGCTTAAAGTCAATGGCAAATTCAGAAATCTTATCAGTTAATCCGCCAATTAATAATTCGAAATTTCGCTAATTCTATCCCGAATTTCAAAGGGATCATTGATGTTCAGCATGAAGAGATTTCAGGATAAAAAATATCTTCTCGCAAGTCTTATTTATAAGTAGCTAAACTGAGATTTTGGGCTGCAATATCTCCTGTTACGTCTGCGTGATATTCATTCGAAGAGACCTAATTAACATTCAATTCAAGAGTACTTACGTCTTACATAATCTACAATGGTTTACAACGTTTGCAAGAACAGAGTTTTTAAAGCCAATGGAATGTTGAGTGATGTCGTTCATAATTTTTCCTCTAATGAAGTCAAACTGTCTGAGCAATTCTGCATTCAATTAATAATACATCTATAAGATAAGGTGCAATAATTACAGGTCGTTAATCGGCTCGTTAACATATGATGTGTGTTTGAAATAATATTATAATTTTAAAATTGTGAAAGCATAAATCTAAAACTATGCTATATACAATACCTATTCGGATAAGTTTTATAAAATTTAAACTTAAAGAATTAGCACTTACAGTCAGAATATACACCAGCAATGGAAGCGCAAACAATTACGGCTACTAATATTGTCGACTTCATATTCTGCATTCCTCACAAGAAAATGCTTATTGCATCCATTTAAATACTTTTTGTGGTCAGTAAGACACGAATCAAATTCCAGTACGTCAATAAAGTCAAATCCTTTTAAAAAGAAAACAAAAACACACAACAAATGGCATACTTTTATTTATTTTTTAACAGCACAAAAATTAATTAACCATTTTTTGAAAATTTGTTTTGTCAGTGGTTCTTATTTTAGTAACAAAGTCAATTCGGTTAAGTCTAATGGCCTTGAAACTAATTAACTTTGTATGTGAAATGCACACGTTCACAATGTAAACAGATTTTTTTGAAGTAAATACATGATATTTTGCTATTTGTTGAAAACCTCTTAACTTGTTTAATTACCTGAGCGTAAGTCCAAAATTAAAATGAAAAGGGTAATAAATTAAAATAAAACAGTTGGTACTACAACTTCAGATTTTAGAAAATGCGCTTACCTCTAGTCGGAATCCGGATAAACACACTGAAAATTAGGCTGTCTTCAAGTTCATTTAAAGAAAGTGGAAGCATCTTACTATTAAAACAATGCAGGAGAGGAACAGCTATTGGAACAGGTTTCCGTTTACCGCAAGCAGATGTTAGGCTCTAATTGAAAGTATTCGAAGAGGCTTGAGGTTAACGACAGTTTAGTCTTAGATATAAGAAAAGAATGTAACACGTTCAGAAATTTAAATTAAGTGGAATTTCAGAACCTTTGCAGTATTCATAGATAGGCTGCTTCATCAAAGCGTATCCAAACTGGCTCAACACTGGAGCAAGATCCATAGCCAGAAATGACTATTGAGAGGGAATCTCTTGAAACAACGGAAGCACCGAGGTGCTGAATATTGAATAAATGTTGGTGGAAATAAGTGACATCTCATATCAAGCTGCCTAATGGAACGCAAATGAAATACAAAAATTTAGTCGCTTTCAAATGATGCAAATATCATGTGAGGTTGATAGCAAAGCTTATTGGCAGCTTTTGTGACAGTGAGCCAAGGGAGTGCAAAGTGTTATGTGGTCGTGATCCGAACATTTTAATGAAAATGTTTTAAAATTCGAACAACAAAAGTGCTTGTGTAAAAAGAACATGTCTTGAGCTTGAAGGACTTGTTCATCCATTTGAGTCATAAAGAGACATCAGAATATAAACATAAACAAAATTGCATGAATTGTGATGGGAATTTGACCGCAGACTTACAATTAGCAATCTTTTTTTTCTCACAATTTTTACTCCTTTTCTACTCTTTTTCCGTTCAACACTACGGACATTGTGCACTTTTGCATCTGATGTTTAGTGATTACGTTAGATTTAAGATCATGTTGATAGATAACTGAATAAAATAATGTTTGCACACATAGTATGCAGTGGTTTGCGTTTGTGTACATGAGGTAACAGTTGTGATTCACGTGTTAGCCTTTCTATAGGTAGGTAAAAGAAGTCAGGGAATTCAGATTAAGTCCCATTATGGATAAGATTTTATTCTGATAAGCCACACAATGTTGTACAGTCAATATCACTGTACAACACTGTGTGATCTATCAAAATAAAATCTTGTCCATAATGGAGTTATGCTCTACCACAGCGCCCAAGACTTACACTTATATCAATTCAGATTAAATATTGATGAATTGATGATAAATATCGATTAATTATTGATTTGTCAAGACTTCTCATACAAAAGCTAAGTTCATGCCTGCTCAAGCTTTTGATGTCTGGCCCTTAGTCATATGGCGGGACAAGGTTTTGAAACATCTTTGTTATTCTGATTTCCGATAATATCTCTTAGAAACTCACCAGCAGTTTGTCGAAAGAAATTGGGGAACTGTTTATTTCAATCTCGCTGACATTTTATGAATTTAAATTTTACATAAGACTACTTCCTACTTGGTGCCCAAGTATTTTGGAACTGTTCGATCAAAAACTGGTAATCGTAGATTTGAATTGTAACAGCGTTTTGTTCACTACAGACCTCGAACTTCCTTATCTGTTACGATCACATGGAAAATTCAATGCTCAGTATGTGGTGACCGGATAATATCTACTTTCTAAGTAGATATATATTTCAAAGAAACATATCAATTCGACATCAATAGCGCACACATTGTATTGTTTATATGAAATTCTGAGGTGAGTATACACAAACTGCACTTAAACCTACTGGAAAGAAAGCACAGTTTCTCAACGACAGTCTATGGCTACTTTTTGAGCAACACTGAACAAGTACTCAACAGTTTCCTTCTGACAGACTCGACGGCGTGTAACAGCGTTGCAAACTGACAGCTGATAATCAACAAACAAGGCGTATCACGACTGCCTCAAGTTGCTTTAGCATTAGACCTCTAATGAGATAATTTCAAGAACTTATGACCGCTTTCACAGAGCAGAAAAATTCATCTAAGTCTACCACCTGGACAATCTACTGAAAAGTTCTTTATTTACTAGGATATTCGAAACGTGACTATCTAATTGTTTCTGTTCAATCCTCAACTGCATCACTGGTTTATAATATTTTTATGTTGTCCTTTGCCTCAACGCTTATAGTTTTTCTTTCCTCCTGGTGAACGTGTATCCTAAACGTTTAACTTTATTGTTTTGCAGTAGTGATCATATCGAAGAATGTTATATTACAAATGCCTTTGAGGCAGTAGAACTTGAAATGTAGGTGTCTTGTTTTATCTGAAAACGGAGGTGAACATCGATTAGATGAGGGTGAGGTTTTGATACGAGTGGAAATAAAATTGTCAATCTACATATATCTTTAGTGGTAATACACATAATTCTGGTTTCCATGTGACTGATAATTCAATAATATTCATATTATTGAGTACATAAACCTTCTAATGGGATCATATTTAGAGTGTTCCAGCAAGCAGTGAGTCTACGAAATCTATTGTGATTTCCTCTGACATTCTGTTCTTACAGTGATAATCCAGTTCTTCAAACAAAGATGATTTTCCAAAACAATATTCCCATTAGGACAAATTCCTTAAATGCTGCAGTAAAGATGGTTTTATTACTCATGCAACGACATCGTCAAATACGCTGACTTTATCACAATTCTATTTGACCTCGATAACTACACATGCCTACTCAACACTCAACGTATACTCCTAAACTGACAAACACGAATATAATATTTAGTGTTTTAAAATGTTGAGGAAAACTCAGTTAGTGTTTTCGAATGATTTCTCAGGTTCCTGATTCCGAACAGATATTGAGATACAAAATAATTCAAGATTTCACAAACAATGAAAATGAGAAAATAAATAGATCTATTCGGCTCACGAGCGATTTCAGTCAAATGAAATCCTCATCGCCAGATGACGTGCAAAGCCACGGAGGACAGAGCTTAGTTATCACTAAAAATCGCTCAGTTATTTAATGAAAGATCACATATAAAGTGTACATGTCCTCATCACTTGAAACAAGAGATATCCAGACAGCAGGAGTTCTTAGAATTCAGAAGTCTCGATATACATTTTATGATATATTTCCAGCTTTTGTCTGGTTTTTAGCGTAGATTACATTTCTTGGCGAATTAACAAGCGCAGCTTTCTTCACCAATCAATTTTTCATTCCTGACGATTTCTGCAATGACATAAAAATATTCCATTATTTTGTTTTTTATGATTTCTAATAGTTAGATTTGCTGAGGAAGACTAGAATAATGGTTGAAAAACTGTGATGAGATACGATATTACAATGCAGTTTCCATGTGTCTATAAGACTATGAAAATTGTTGAGGTAACAGGTGATTATAATCACAGATGTGCAAATATTCAAGCAAATATTTGAATATCGACAGTCCAAATCTCCGCATTAAGCAAAGGAATGCCCATCAAAAGGTTACATATTCGTTCGATGTTGACTGCTAAAATACCTATAGCCATTCTTCCTTACGTTTCAGGCATTCATGCTGTACGCTAAATAGACTGAAATATATATGCATTACTTACTGAAATAAATGGTGAAATGATTACGCATCATTCAAAGGGGTGAAACACAAATAAAGAAATACTTTGAAAAATATGCTGTTGAAGTCAAATGTTGAGACACAGAAGATATAATCAAAGGTGGAACACCTGAGCAAGAAAACACCAAATAAATAAAGAAAGATATTAAAAACGAGAATTCAGCAAAATATACAAAACTGAAAAAATTAAGTAACAAAAGACCAAAACAAAGAATTTGAAGAAAGAAAACGGAAGAAAGACAAAAAAGGAAAATACTATTTAACTAATCGTAAAACGCACAGTAAAACACCAAATAATATTCCGAGATATAGAAAAGATTCTGTGAAAATGTTCAGTCAAGAAATGAACGCGATTCATACTGTACACAAAATAATTTCACAAGAGCACATGTAAAGGTTCATAAAATAAAATAAGCATTCAGTTGTTTTACGAAACAGATAAAGAAGCTGCGAAAATTGTAGAAAATAAGGCAACAAACTAACAGCTTCAAGAATTATTTGATGTAATCCTTAGAAATAACAATGATAGCCATGCGTCGATCAATTAGACAAATCAAAACATCAGCGAGTTACACGTCAGAGTAGATAAGAAATAACCCACAGGGATTTCCAATTAACGTATAAGACTCCAAAAATCAGCAGAAAACTATGATGAAAATTACCATTATTGGCAGAACAGGTTAAATTGAGGAGTAACCCACTCCCCAAATATAAACAACCTATTTAAACAAATATTTAAAATGATCCCAAAGATACGACAGCGTGCTGAAACACCGCCTCTCGCTTCTGACTTGAACTCAATCACTCCACAAGACACTTCTCTTTCTGGATGAGCCTCTCGTCCAAGTGCGCATAAATCAAGCCTCATGTGATTCCCTACGATGAGAAGAACAAGGTGCAAACTCTGATGTCATCATATATTCTAACTAATATACTCCTATATCTCACATGGACATCCACAACACGGCCATTTGTGTCAGTCGACTGGCCAGTTTCACCTCCTCTTCCTCTTTTTCCCCCACATACATCCATATATACATACATACTCACATACACACAATCATTCATATACTTTCCACCCTCACATTCACAATGACTGACGACGGAGCTCGCATAAACACGTCTAAGATTTCATGCTTTATATCATTGATATCACGATCAATGTCAGTTTCACTAGGGTGGTGGTTATCCACTTAACTGTAGGTGGCAAATTTAAATCAATTCACCACATTAGTGTCGGCTGTACATATTGATCTCAGTACGTTAGTAGGAGAATGGCCAGAAGAGACGTCAGTGAAAAAATGGTTATGAGGCTAATATTCTCAAGAATTGGTTTGTATGGATTCTAATTGATTCAGGTTAGACCACGGACCACTGATTTCAGTTACAGATCCATTGAATACAAAGGAGTCGTGGACAGCTGTTTCATCCTAGTTCGGGACTGGTCGACAGTAGGCTAGCACCTTTGGGTATAATTTCGAAGCCATGTTGCCCTGAGTGTGGTCCCAGTGGTTGAATGATATACGAGCTAGCCCTGTATCTGGAGGATCCTGGTTTCGGAAAGCAGTAGGTACGCACTTCCGATCAGTCTCAAACTGGGCTGAAACAGCCATCCACGACTACCTGCATTTCAATGGTATTCCACACGATATCAATTCATCGACGAAGCAGATATTGAAAGTAATATAAATGACGGATAAGTATTCTTCTTCTCCTTATTATTATTATTAATTATTTTTATAGTATTTATGTAATAATTATTCTAATATTATTGTTAATATGTTTCTTATTATTGTTGATTTTATTATTGTTATTATGATAGATGTTGATTCTGATGACAATGATGTTAATGATTGTGATAGTGATAATAATAATAATAAAAATGATGTTGAGGATGATAAGAATCATGAAAAACGTAGTAGTAGAAATGTGGGCGTATTTTATCAATCGCGTAAAGAACTCAATCAAAGCTACGCTGATATGATCACAAATACCTATGCAGTTGGATTCGATCCATTATTACTTAAAATTATCTCAGAAAGTTTAGAATAGTTAATATCCATCAAACGACGCCTGCTTCTTTTTATCTAAAACCACTCACTGTTTGCACATGTCAAATAATAATGCGAGGAGTAATTGTTCGCCAAATGCATTCCACGAGTAGCAATGAGATCACCATAAAAACAAAAGTTAATATCACAAGAGGATTATCATGTGGTTCCTCGATTTTGAGCCTTTAGATTGCCAAGGGTACCAAAACCCACGATAACCAAGTTATCAAACAACGAAAACATTCACATGCAGGTACGCGATTGACAATGCGCTCACGTTTCTACTACTACGTTTTTCATGATTCTTATCATCAACATCAACATCATCATTATCGTTATCACTATCATTAACATCATTGTCATCAGAATCAACATCTATCATAATAACAAAAATAATAAAACAATAATAAGAGAAACATAGTAACAATAAAATTAGAATAATAACTACATTAAATATTATAATAATAATTATTAATAATAATAATAAGAAGAAGAAGAATACTTATCCGTCATTTATATTACTTTCAATATCTGCTTCGTCGACGAATCGATATCGTGTGGAATACCATTGAAATGCAGGTAGTCGTGGATGGCTGTTTCAGCCCAGTTTGAGACTGATCGGAAAGGCGTACCCACTGCTTTCCGAAACCAGGATCCTCCAGATACAGGGCTAGCTCGTATACCATTCACTCACTAAGACCAGACTCAGTGCATCATTGCTTCGAAATTATACCCGAGCATTCTAGCCAACTGCCAATTAATCTCCACCTTTTCAGAACTCCTGTATTCAATGGATCTGTAACTGAGATCAGTGGTCCGTGGTCTAACCTGAATCAATTAGAATCCATACAAACCAATTCTTGAGAATATTAGCCTCATAACCATTTTTTCACTGACGTCTCTTCTGGCCATTCTCCTACTAACGTACTGAGATCAATATGTACAGCCGACACTAATGTGGTGAATTGATTTAAATTTGCCACCTACAGTTAAGTGGATAACCACCACCCTAGTGAAACTGACATTGATCGTGATATCAATGATAAAAGCATGAAATCTTAGACGTGTTTATGCGAGCTCCGTCGTCAGTCATTGTGAATGTGAGGGTGGAAAGTATATGAATGATTGTGTGTATGTGAGTATGTATGTATATATGGATGTATGTGGGGGAAAAAGAGGAAGAGGAGGTGAAACTGGCCAGTCGACTGACACAAATGGCCGTGTTGTGGATGTCCATGTGAGATATAGGAGTATATTAGTTAGAATATATGATGACATCAGAGTTTGCACCTTGTTCTTCTCATCGTAGGGAATCACATGAGGCTTGATTTATGCGCACTTGGACGAGAGGCTCATCCAGAAAGAGAAGTGTCTTGTGGAGTGATTGAGTTCAAGTCAGAAGCGAGAGGCGGTGTTTCAGCACGCTGTCGTAGCTTTGGGATCATTTTAAATATTTGAAATAGGTTGTTTATATTTGGGGAGTGGGTTACTCCTCAATTTAACCTGTTCTGCCAATAATGGTAATTTTCATCATAGTTTTCTGCTGATTTTTGGAGTCTTATACGTTAATTGGAAATCCCTGTGGGTTATTTCTTATCTACTCTGACGTGTAACTCGCTGATGTTTTGATTTGTCTAATTGATCGACGCATGCTATCATTGTTATTTCTAAGGATTACATCAAATAATTCTTGAAGCTGTTAGTTTGTTGCCTTATTTTCTACAATTTTCGCAGCTTCTTTATCTGTTTCGTAAAACAACTGAATGCTTATTTTATTTTATGAACCTTTACATGTGCTCTTGTGAAATTATTTTGTGTACAGTATGAATCGCGTTCATTTCTTGACTGAACATTTTCACAGAATCTTTTCTATATCTCGGAATATTATTTGGTGTTTTACTGTGCGTTTTACGATTAGTTAAATAGTATTTTCCTTTTTTGTCTTTCTTCCGTTTTCTTTCTTCAAATGCTTTGTTTTGGTCTTTTGTTACTTAATTTTTTCAGTTTTGTATATTTTGCTGAATTCTCGTTTTTAATATCTTTCTTTATTTATTTGGTGTTTTCTTGCTCAGGTGTTCCACCTTTGATTATATCTTCTGTGTCTCAACATTTGACTTCAACAGCATATTTTTCAAAGTATTTCTTTATTTGTGTTTCACCCCTTTGAATGATGCGTAATCATTTCACCATTTATTTCAGTAAGTAATGCATATATATTTCAGTCTATTTAGCGTACAGCATGAATGCCTGAAACGTAAGGAAGAATGGCTATAGGTATTTTAGCAGTCAACATCGAACGAATATGTAACCTTTTGATGGGCATTCCTTTGCTTTTCCCCCTCTGATTTTTAGTAGTAATATTGAGATAATCGTTTTTTTCAAGGATTCTGATGTTTTTCGTGTAACGTTTCGTGTGCTGTTTTCAGCCTTTCCTATGAATTTTTAGAATCCTCGACATTACAGCTTCAACCGTTTTTCAAAAGAAACACGTTGTTCAACGAAGTGGTTTCAAATCCATCTTATTAAGCTGTAAAATGACATTTATTTACAATGTTTCTATAGCGTAGTGTGCTGAAAATTTATTCTATTTCTGACAGTCTTGCCAGCCAGCATCAGCTAAAGAATGAATGAATTTGAATAAACGTGATGTGAAATACATAATTTTCTCATTTGTTTTATTTAGGATGAGATGAATACAGAGGTGTTATAAGATTTTGTAAGATTTATGTAAAAGGATACACGTGTTATAAGGAGTCAGATAAACATACAATATAAATTCATCTCAGTAGAAATGCACCTTGATATTTGAAATGTTTGCAATATTTTCTTTAGCATGCATATTCACCACTTTTCGAACTGGATGACCGAAACCTTAGCAACGAAAAATAGATTGAGGCTTATTGCCTTTGGCAAGTTTTTCTTCACTCTGTATATTGTTTTGAAGGAGGCATTTGTTGAGATGTAATGAACGGTGTTGACATGGTGTTCGATTTTACCGCTCGTTATCGAACAGCTAGTGCCTCTATGAAACAATACAGCAAAATGTCCTTCTGCACTTCAGGACAGGCTATGATTTCATTGTCAAATATTCTTGGTTACACAATAACTACTCGAGTACTATGGCGTGCAGTGCCGAAATATTCATCAACCTTATTCGACAGCTGGTTGTGTGACAACGGCGAATGTCGAGTGATCCACAACGGACTACTCAGCGAGTCGTTTGGAGTAAACACAGGAGTCTGACAAGGCTGCCTGCCTATTATCACCAATGATATTCATAATTGTGGTGGACTGACTGGATTATGCGTCAGACAGTGAGTGGGAAACGAGAATACAGGGATATGCTGGACAGACAGACGTGAAGAACGTAGAAGATCTGGATTTCGCGCATGGATGAAGACAGGGCTCCAGCTGAATTAAACAAGACGGAGGTTATGAAAATAACCAGCCAACAACAACATCAACTGCCACATCAAGCGCCAATCACCATCAACGGGAGGGATTTGAATGTGGTTACTCCATTCACTCACTGATTTAGGCAGCATTGTCTCAATTACAAGCAGTCGCTATGGAGGACGATGTCAAATCGAGCGAGAATCGGGAAGGCAAGCGAGAGACACATTCCCAACCTGAAATAAACAATCCGGAAATCCTGGTCACTCAGCATCAACAACAAAATTCCGTCGGATTTTTAATACAAACAACGTCAAGTCAGTAAGTTCTTCTATACGGAACGAATCAGAAACTTGGCAGGCGGGTGGAACCAGAAAGGGAGGTGGCGAGTAGGACGTCAGTGCAAGGGTGACATGGCGGAATCGTGTGAAGGGGAGTTGAAAGAGTATGGACTTACATGGATGCAGATTAAATGAACAGCAGGAGACAGAATCAAGTGGAGACATGAGGTTGAAGGCCGATGATCCGCTTTCAACCGAAGGGAAAAATAACACTTTTAATAATAACAATTGCAATTTATCTCACTCACTATACACTCTTGAACTCACTCAAAGAATCACTCAACCAATGAATCACTCACTCACCTAATGACGCATATATTGGCTCGTGTGATTTCCTTCAATGAGATAAAAAATTCTTTGAAAATCTTTTTACGCTTGATATCTCAGTATGATTTAGGTGTAGATCTTACAACATTTAGTGTTATTTTTTATTTTTAGGAAGTGCGTTCTTACGCAATCAGTTGGTTAAACGGTTAACGGTTAACTGTTTTCATGAAAGCTCGATTGTAATTTTTCGCGTGTGTGGAATTGGATGTAAATCTCGTTGAACAGGGAATAATTTTGTAAAAACAAAAATACTCTTCATGTGTGACCGATGATTTACAAACAACTATGTTGATTTCTACTCAATAATTAACAGACTTTTGACAACTCAATTACCCGCTTCATTATTGGCTTCATAATTGGCCGTAGACACCTGAGTGTATAAGTGATCGTTTATTACTTACTGCCTTGCTCACCAAGAATTTATTTCCTTCCAGGATATTTCAATGTATCTACATGAAGATGGCGGTAAGACGTAATCCTGAATTCACTCAACATTTAAAAACAACCATTCTACTTGTGTGTATTATTATTCCGAATTTTAACTGTCCACCAATCCTGAATAATTTGCAGAAGCTTGCGTGAATTTCTTTCTATTCCTACTAAACAAATTAAATATAACTTTACCCTTACGAAGCTTTATTTCAACAGGATCGGTTCTATTCCCAGCCACCATGTTTATGTTTAAGAGAAAATGCGCGAACATTAGTTAGCAGTGGTGAAAAAATTTATTCTACACGAAAGACTCTTGGTTGTTAATCGGTTGAAAAAAAGTGGATTAGCAAGAAATCATGGGAAAATAGGGAGGTAGTAAGGCCTATTGAAGGTAACATCTGGTGCGACCCTAAGGGAGAAATAGGAAAACAGAGGAGGAAAATTTTCGGAGTATAGGAAAAGCGGGAAATTTGAAAGAGAATACGGTCAGTCGAGCACTAAACGACTCTCCTATTCAATACAAATTCAATCATCAAATGTTAAGAAATGTTCCCAAAG